TATTTATCAAATACCCAGAGAAAGAGAATAAAAACACCAGCTACATTATGGGAACACTCTTAACAGCTAATCTGACTTGCATTATGAAACAGACATTTAAGATCTAAAAAATCAGTACACATTCCTTAGACAGAAAATGAGAAAAATAATTGGATATGAAAAAAATTGTGATTTAAATAATGATCTCCAGAGTTGTCAATGTAGTTTATGACATAACAAGGTCATGCTTAAAGTAACATAAAATAATAGTTATTCAGAAACAACAACTATCTTTAATCTAGAAGCCTCTCCATATGAGAGAGATTACAGATGGCACCTGAAAAGAGGATCCCAGAAGCAAGTAAATTGGAGAAACACCATATAATATATACCCTTCTAGAAGTTCATAATCACTTTTGCACATTTTAGGTTCTGAGTTGTCCGACAATAAAGATAGGTGTTTAACTTCGTTTAACCTAGAATGTCCCAAACTTATTTGAACTTGGTACCCATTTTTTTTTTTTTTTACATAAAGGCAAAGGGTGGTTGGTTTACTCGTTGTGTTTTTCACATAAAATTATAAACATTTTGGAATGCCAGTAGTTTCTGGGGTTTACTTTGAGAAATACAGCTCTATACCAATCAAACATGACACACGTGAATATTGACTACGCTTGCATTTAGTATTCTGGAGTTTTCATAATTTATTTTATAGTTAAATTTTATCCATTTTTGCAAAGACAATGTTTATGCAAATGTACTGTCCAGACTTGGGAAGTTAATGTTCTTGCCCCTTCACTCCTGGTCATATCACACTCTGAGCTTTGTGCCCAGTGCAGGACATTGTCTGACTGTAGGGTAATACGGGTTGTCAACCTGGATAGTGGGGAGATCTGAAATCATCCTCGAGCACATCTAAATGAAGGGCCGCGGGTGATTTGGGGCATGATGGTTGCTGTTGTCTTCCAGCTCTAAACCTGCTCTTCCATATTCTACCTTGTAAAGTCCCAAACCTGGGACTTTGTAACATTTTATTTCTCTTTAGAAATAAAAAGTTGGAAATTTAGCCAGCTCAAGTCCTAGCAGGTTTAGCCAATGGCCGGGATGGGAGGTGGTGAGGGTGCTGGAGGAAGCCTGGAAGGTGAGTGGAGTGGAGAAGGACCTTACTCGTGCCTGTTTCCTCGCTCTCAGTGTCACCCCGGAAGTGACACGTCATCACCTGGTGGTAGCATTTGTCTCCAGCAGCAGCTGTTCTCAGTTTCTATTTTTCCTACACACCCAGAATTGGTTTTATGGCTCGTCCTTAATCCTACAGCACCTGCCAGACAGCACCCCCTCCTACAAGATCCCTGATTCCCAGCTCTGACCAGTTCAGCCTGGCAATATTCCCCTCCTCAGAGAGCTGGTTCCCAACTTGTGGGGTCCCTGCTCTAAGCCTGTAGATTCTGACAACCTCAGCCTCTTCCCCAACCTTATCATCAGATAGAGGAGAATTAGCTTCTTTTGTGGGGTCTTTGAGGACAGAACTAGAACTCGTGGGTTGAAGTAACACGGTTTAATAATTAGAGACGCCAAAAAAAACCCTGAATGGACTGCACTGAATTTCCTATCCATTAATTTAATCAAAAGAAGGATCTGCCACAAAATTAACATATTGATAGGACTTAAAGTATCAGATGGAAGATTGGACTGGATGAGATTCAAGGTTCTTTCCGTTTGGGTGATTCTACAGTAAAATGTAACTACAACTATGATTATTGAGTAATTCTTCAATTAGTAAGGAATTAACTCCCAAATTCCTTACTTCTATTATTCTTAATGCTCATACACAACCCAAGTGTTGGAGGTCACGGAAAGGATGTGACTGCAGCTGACCTAAGAACTGGACCCTGAAAATGTCAGAGGCTTCTCACCCCCTCCCTTGTCCTTGGAATGTACGCCCTGCCTACTATTTCCCCAGTGGGAGCCATCTGGGAACAAGGACAGAGCCTTGATAGAGTAAGGTGTTGTCGAGATCATATGGACTTAACAGGTAACTAAACCCAGGTAAGGCCTCTATATAAACGTCTAAGATTCAAGTGGGCAGGTGCAGAGATCTACTCATCTTTTGAATGCCCAAGACAAGCCTCATACGTAAGTTTTCTTGCATATTAAAACTGCCACCTACAAACTTGGAGTGGCCTGCCTCTTTTCTTCTGTCTCTCCTTGCCCCCATGAACAGGGGTCAGTTTCAGATTTCACCTGAGAAATTCCCGAGTTTTTGAACCAATACCTATGTTGTTAGATATTATCATTCCCATTTTATAAACACAGAAAGGAGAATGGAAGCTGATGTATGATCATTAATAGGCCAGGATCACAAAGTTTTCGAGTGAAGGCAGTGAAGGCAGAATGTGGACGCTTTGTGAGTCCCACCACCTGCTTCCTAATAAGCCTCAGACATACACTGAAACACTGTGTTAGAGCAGTCTCATGGTGCCTGAATCCAGCTAATCATTGTTTTTTTTTTCAACATCAGTCCTGGTGGATTGCTTTGTTTGTTTGTTTTGCAGATAAAGGAGGAGGAAAGGCAATAAGAAGTGATGAATGAAGAGTGATAACAATTTGACAGTAGTTCCTTACTGATCAAACCCACAAGCCCTACCCCCTACCGTGTGGACATGCTTGCTACCTCCATCAGGAATGATCTGTCTTTAGCTACCGGATAAACTCCTGTACATCCTTTAAAGTACAGCCCAGACACTTCCAGATGCACTTTCAAGTTCTGTCCTTAAGCTAAAGCACCTGCTTTAGAGGTATTACACAAACTAGGGGTGGTAACAGGTGAATCCACCCGTGGAAGCATCATTCCAGGAAGGCAAAGGTAGATGAGAAAATCAGAAGAATGGAACCAATATCAGTGGCCAATCTGACTACTCCACTGGTAAGGATTCTGGCATTACCTTGAAGCTTCGTCTTTAGACAGAATTAGAGGCTCCTGCATTTCTGTAGAACATGTGTCCTATTACTACTCCCAACACACTGTTTTACTATTTTATTGTTGCTTTTCTATCTGACTTTCCTTGAGGGCAGTAATTCAGTTTATTCATCTTTGTATTCCCAGGACCTAGCAAGATATATAATAGTAAGTATCCGAAACATATGTTTTTGAGGCAACATGGGAGAGTGGAGAAAGCACAGGATTTCAATTCAGTTCCTGGGTTGTGATCATGAGCAAGATTACAAAATTTTTCTAAGTTGTGTTCTTCCCAGAGAGAAGAGTTTCAGGAAGGAAGTGGTCAATGGTTTCAAGCACCAGCGGTGGGCAACATTATTTAATTTTCCTAAGCCTAACTCTTCCAAAAGAACTCGCTGCAGTTCCTAACACTATGCAAAAGTCACATGGTAAAAAGTGTCCATTGAATTGAGTAGGAAGATCACCAGTGACCACGTTGAAACAAGTACCAGTGGGGGTAGTAAGCGTTGAAGCAGGTTGCAGTGAGCCAAATACCGCACTGGATATAAGGAACAGGACACGGGCTTATGATTATTTACTGTAAATACAGGGAATAGGCAAGAGTTAAAATTAGTTGTTCAAAGGGCTTTGGTTTATTAGTTTAATTAGGAGATGATTTGAACACACTGTATTTACTTGTTTAAAGAAACCAGAGAATATAGAGAGGTTAACAAGGGGAGGGAATAATCTGGAGCAAGATCTCTGAGGAGTCTTCTAGGAGGAAAATAACATGGGAACAAAAAGAGGGGCAACAACTTTTTCAATTTAACAGGATTACAGGGAAAAGGATAATGTGGATACAAACAAGGGATAGACTTGGAGGTGGTAAGGAAGTGAGGTAGCTCGTCTGGGCTTCTGGAAGCAATTGGTGGTAGAGCACAGAGATCAAAGAGCACAGGCCCTGGAAACAGACTTTGTAGATTTAAGTCCCAGAATACCTTCTAATTGTGTAACCTCGGGCAAGATATTTAACATACTAATGCCTGATCTTCCCGACGATAATAACCATGCCTTTACTCTCCTGCGTTGTTGTAAGGAGTTCATGACTTCATATATACACATGCAGCGAACAGTGCGGAGCATAAGCTCGCCTGAAGTGTGAGCCATCCTCAGTGTATGAAGTAAGAGTTGTGGGCTGAGAGATTTCAACAGAGGAGACAGTTTGAAGGGAGCGCTGCAGAGTACAAAAAAGAAAGAGCTATGGGGTGCCTGGGTGGCTCAGATGGTTAAGCGTCTGCCTTCGGCTCAGGTCATGATCCCAGAGTCCTGGGATCGAGTCCCGCATCGGGCTCCCTGCTCTTTGGGAGCCTGCTTCTTCCTCTGCTTCTCACTCTCTCTCTCTCTCTCTCTCTGTTTCTCATGAATAAATAAATGAAATCTTTAAAAAAAAAAGCAAGATAAAACATTTATAAAAAAAAAAAAAGAAAGAGCTAGGCAAACATAGAAGAGGTGGGAAGCAGTGGTGAAGACCCGGTTTAAGTTGGAGATCATGTACAACATGTCATTGGGGCAGTTCCCCAAACCCCCTTCCCCAGCCCAGGTGTTGACAGGGAGAAGGCAGAGAACTTGTTGGATCCAACCTACAGCGGTGATGGAAGAACAATGAGGGGATGGAACTGAGAACCCTGACGACAGGCTGAACTGAGGGCCGCGGAACCACGCGAGAAGTCTTAGTAAGTGAAAGGGGCTCCATTGAAAGGGCAGAGACGATGCAAACGATGGAAATGTATTCTGTACTTGTTGGAGCCAGAGTGCTGGAAGAACTGTGGCAACTGTGGCCAGCCACAGCGCAACTGTGGCCAGCCCTAATGCTACAGTTGCGCTCAGGACCGCAAGAACTTGACCCTCCCCGCACGGGATTGGAAGACTGCTAAGGGAAAGGGCGGGGCCCAAGGGGGAGGATAAAGAGAATTGTGATGGGACGAGGCGGGGCTCCGGGGCGGTGGGGGGTGTGCTCCTCCATCACTTGGTCTGGGTCCTGCAGTGCGTGCGGGGGAGCGCCTGGGTGCTCTGCAGCATAAGCAGCATGTGCCTGTGCTGTACGGAGGACGAAGCCATCCAAGTCAGCGCCGTGAGTTCTCCGAGGCCCTAACGCCGCCTCGGCGACCCCTACCCGGGGCCTTGCACTGGGGACATTTGCGATTACGGTCGCTCGCGATCGTGGCCAATGCGGGCGGTTTGGGTGCTGAGGGTTGGGAATCCAGGGTGAAGTAGACAGACTAGATCCTGGACTGCAAGACCCACCCAGGAGGAAAAGCCCCGCCCCGCGCCTTCTAGAAGCCAGGCACAGTCAACTATATGTCGACTGACCCATTAATCTGCCCCAGAGGTGGGATGGGGTTTACAGAGGTGGGGGGCAGAATAAGTTTCTCAACTTTGGGGAGGATGGGAGAGGAGACTGCTTCTGGGTCTTTGGGTTAAACAACTGGATCAAAATGGGGGGGGAGGTATTTAAGGTACAATTTAGAAACTACGGGACGCTATGGGAACCTCACAACTAAACAGCCAAGATCCCTGTGTCTCAGAAAATCATACCACTCGCTGGGGTTCCTCAATCTCCCCAAACACCAGCAGAAACATAATTTTTTGATTTCTTGTATACCCGTTCTTTTCATGATAAATCTCAGTACTCTACATGCTCCCTCTAATGTGGTTCAAGCCTGGTTCTTTTTTCTCATACTATTGCCATCTTCCCCCCTGACTTTTACCTTATGTTCTCATTCTGATCCTGCCTCCTGCAACTGAGATAATGTGCATATATTACATAAGTTAAAAACAGTAGCATAGGCTTCCTATTATAATAACTAGTATTTGTTTGCTCATGGTTTTTTATGGTTTGTTTTGTTTTAATTTAATTTTACATATTATATAGGAAGGGCCAAGATGGCAACATCCTTCAGACGTCACTGAAAGGCAGGTAATTTTTAAATAAATAATGCTGGGTACTTCAAAATTGTAACTGTCTTGTTCCTTTATGTGTGGTGGTCTCTTAATATGATAGAAGTTTTATTATCTAGACACTTCGGTGTTTTCTTTCATGGGACTCTGGGATCTTGCGACTACTATTAGAATAATGTGACTACTATTAAATGCTTTATATTCTTGTTTTTTCGTGTAATAAGAATAGAATGGCTGGATCATAGAGAAAGCCATTTTTTCATTGTTATAAAGTAATACCACATAGTTTTCAAAGCAATTATACCAACTGCACTCCCACTGGAAGTGGATAAAAGTTTTTATTATTCATATACTCTGTACACTAATACTCCATTATCTTCAAAGCATTCTAGTTTGAGCCCTTAGGTCTCTGCTACTTATAGATGCCATACAATAGGGACATAAAAATCACTGCTTAACATATGCAGCATTTAAAGGAACTAAAGAATGTCCATGAATTTTGTTTTCTTATTTCCACAAAGAAAATTCCTTTGGGGTTTTGAATGAACATTACTTTTAAAATAAAAGTAAACATATATATCCATGAGCCTTAGATCCCGTAGTTGGTGAAGTGGGAATCAAGAGTAAATAGTCTCATTTGAAAACTCTAGAGATGCTCCAGGGTGTTTTCTTCATCTATGAACCACATATTTGAAAAAAGATTTTTCCTACTTTTATGTAGCTATGTAAACCATAGCCACTGATTGTGTTTATCTTTTTCTATTGACACTAACCCAAAATATAATCAGCATGTTAACTTTTTGTTATAAAAAGTATGATTTGTTTTCCTTCCTTTTAATTTTCCAAAAGTCCAGAGATAAACGTATTGAGAATATGAAAAACCTAAGGAAAGAGAAAAGGAAATTTAATAAACGGTTTGCAAGACCTGCTCCTCTTCCAGAACCAGGACTCCTGGTAAGTACAATATAGAGACTTCACTAAAATTAACAGGTCCTTAAATGCAAAAGATACCCTCATTTTTAATTTATGTAGTACTCTAAATTTTGTTTTTCCTCTTTCCTTTGAAAAATGTGTAATTGTAGTCTGGGAAATTGCCTTAAAATTCCTCCAATCAAATTCTCATCTATTATTTAAATCTTTCTCTCTCTCTCTCTCGCTCTCTCTTTTTGCCTGGGTAAAGTGTACTTTATTGATGATACATGACAAGGTGGGGCTCTCTAAGCTACTCTTCTTCAGGGAGTCTGAGACAGATTTCAGACCAGGAGATTCTCAGTGTGTGGGTGAATGCGTTGGGATAAGGACTCCCCAGCAGCTGAGGGCTCCTCTCTTCCTCTTGTGCTCTCCCTGGGTTTGGGGACTCTTACTCTTTGGAGGGCATGTGGACCATAAGGCCCACCACCCACATGCTATAGCCAATTCATTGTCATACCAGGAAATGAGCTTGACAAAGTGGTCATTGAGAGCAACGCCAGCCCCAGCATCAAAGATGGAAGAGTGAGTGTCACTGTTAAAGTTGCAGGACACAACCTGGTCAGTGTAGCCCAGAGTGCCATTGAGGGGGCCCTCTAATGCCTGGTTCACTACCTTCTCCAGGGAGCTTTCTCCAGGCAGATCAGATCCATAACTAACGCCTTGGGGGTGGAGATATGGAACACCATGCCAGTGAGGTTCCCATTCAGCTCAGGAATGGCCTTGCCCATAGCCTTGGTGATACCAATAGAAGCAGGAATGATGTTCTGGGCAGCCCCTCGGCCATCACACTACAGCTTCCCAAAAAGCTCATCCACGGTCTTCTGGATGGCAGTGATGGCATGGACTGTGGTCATAATGCCAAAGTTGTCATGGATGACCTTAGCCAAAGTGGCCAAGCAGCTGGTGATGCAGAAGGCATTGCTGATAATCTTCAGGGAGTTGTCATACTTCTCATGTTTCACACCCACCACAAACATGGGAGCATTAGCAAAAGGGAGAGGGATAATGACCTTCTTCGCTCAAACCTTTAAGTGAGCCCCAGCCTTCTCTACAGTAGTGAAGACACCAGTGCACTCCACGACATATTCAGCAAGAACATCACCCCATTTGATGCCGGTGGGCTTTTGCTCCTGCAAGATGGAGATGGGCTTTCCATTGATGACACATTTCCAGTTCTCAGCCTTGACTGTACCATTGAATTTGTCAGGGTGGAATCATACTGGAACATGCAGACCATGTAGTTGAGATCAGTGAAAGGGTCACGGATGGTGACAATATCCAGTTTTTCAGAGTTAAAAGCCTTGATGACCAGGAACCCATTACAGCCAAATCCATTTACTTTAACCTTTGCCACTGTGTCTCAGGGACCCGGGTGGCACTGCACAAAAAGATGCGGCTGGGTGTTGAATGGGGAGGAGGAGAGAGCCTATTTAAATCTCCTTTGCAATTGTCTCCTGGAGATGTGGTTTAATGAAAAGAGTAAGATATTAAGAAACCACATTATTCTGGTTTCCAGTTTTTGCTTTACCATATATGATCTTGACTGCCCAAAATCATTACTTAAATCTTTTGGATTATATTATTTGGAAAATAAATTATAAAATCTCCTGGCAAATAGTTATTCAGCCTAGGTTTGATCACTTCCAACATCATAAAAGTCTGCACCAATCACAGCTTATTCTCTCTTTGCACATCTTTTTTTTTAAATTTAAGTTTTAGTTAACATACAGTGCAATATTGCTTTCAGGAACAGAATTCAGTGATTCGTCATTTACATACAACACCCAGTGCTCATCACAAGTGCCCTCTTTAATACTCATCACCCATCTAGCCCCTCCCATACATTCATCTGTTTTGTTTCTTAAATTCCACATATGAGTGAAATCATATGGTATATGTCTTTCTCTGACTGACTTATTTCACTTAGAATAATACACTCTAGCTCCATCCACATCGTTGCAAATGGCAAGATTTTATTCTTTTTGATGGCTTTGTCTCAAAAAGGCTGCTTTTTGATGGCAGTCTCAAAAAGGCTGCTGCAATAGTAGACATTGTGTCTACATTCCAGTAGAAAACAGTATAGAACAAAGGGTAAAAAGCATATGCCAGCAGCTGAGTCAACTCCCCTTTGATCAGGAAAAGAGCCTCCTTCATATACTTATACATGAAATATATATATAAAATATATTTATAAGTAAAATCTTGGTTGTAGGTAATGGTCTCAGGGATGTACATGTGCCAAAATATTTTAAAATGTGCACTTTATTTTTATTGTTTTAAAGATTTTATTTATTTATTTATTTGAGGGAGGGGGAGGGGAGAGGGAGAAGAAGGCTCCCCGCTGAGCAGGGAGCATGACGCAGGCCTCGATCCCAGGACCCTGAAATCATGACTTGAGGCAAAGGTAGATACATAACTGACCCAGGTGCCCCTAAAAATGTGCACTTTAAATATGCACAATTTATTGTATGTCAAGTGTACTTCAATAAAGCTGATAATATATATATTTATATATTATGTTGGACTTACTGTTTGAGTTGTATAATTCTGTGAGTTTTGACAAAGCATAATGTCTTTATCCACCATGACAGTACCATACAGAATAGTTTCACTGCCCTAAACATCCTGTATTCCACCTATTCATCCCTTCCCTCACTTGCCTCAAGCCACTAGCAATCACTGAACTTCTTTTTTTAAAGATTTATTTATTTGAGTGAGAGACAGAGCACAAGCAGGGGGAGGGGCTGAGGGAGAAGTGGACTTGCAGACTCTCCCCACTGAGGAGGGAGCCTGCCCTGGGGCTTGATCCCAGGACCTGGAGATCATGACCTGAGCTGAAGGCAGACCCTTAGCCGTCAGAGCCACCCAGGCAACAACCCCCCCTTTTTTTTTTCAATTACTGAACTTCTTACTGTCTCTATAGTTTTGCCTTTTCCAGAATGTCATACAGTTGGAATCTTACAGTACGTAGCCTTTCAGATTGGCTTCTTTCACTCAGCAATATGCATTTAAGGTTCCCCCATATCTTTTCACAGCTTGATAACCCATTTCTTTTTATCACTAATATTCCATTGTGTGCATGTGTCACAGTTTATTTATGCACATATTGAAAGACACCATGGTTGCTTCCAATTTTTGGTAATCATGAATAAAGCTGCTATGAACATTCGTGTGCAGGTTTTTGCATGAACATAAATTTTCAACACATTTGGGTAAATATTTAGGAGTACAATTACTGGATAATACGGTAAAACTATGTTGAGTTTTATAAGAAACTGGGAAATTGTCTTCCAGAGTAGTTGTATAATTTTGCATCCCCACCAGCAATGAATGAGAGTTCCAGCTGTTCCACCGCCTTGCTAAACTTCGATGTTATCAGGGTTTTGGACTTTAGCCATTCTGACAGGTGTGTAGTGATACCTCATTGTTTTAATTTGCAATTCCCTCTTGACATATACTATTGATAATATTTTCAAATGTTCATCTGCTATCTGTATAACTTCTTTGGCACAGTGTCTGTTTCAATATTTTGCCCACTTTTTAATTGAGGTCACTTTCTTGTTGAGTTTTAATAGCCATTTGTATATTTTGGATACCCATTCTTTATAAGATATGCATTTTTGCAAATATTTTCCCCTGGTCTCTGACTGTTTTCATTCTTCTAATAGTGTCTTTCCCAAAGTAGAAGTTTTTAATTTTAATGAAGTCGAATTTATTAATTATTTCTTTCATGGATCATGCCTTTGGTGTTGTATCTAAACACTCCCAAGGTCACATAGATTTTTCTTTTGTGTTATATAAGAGTTGTACAATTTTGCATTTTATATTTAGGTTTATGATACATTTTGAGTTCATTTTTGAAAAGTGCAAGGTGTCTAGATTTTTTTTTTTTGGCATATGGATGTCCCAGTTGTTTTGCACCATTTGTTGAAAAGACCGTCCTTTCTCTACTGTATTGCTTTTGCTCTTTTGTCAAAGATCTGTTGACTAACTGTTAAGGTCTATTTCTGGGCTGTCTATTCTATTCCATTGAATAAAATATCTGTTCTTTCACCATTACTACACTGTATTGATTACTGTAACTTTATTGTAAGTCTTGAAGTCAGGTAATGTCAGTCTTCCAACTTGGTTCTTTCCTTTCAATGTTGTGTTAGCAACACTGGATCTTTCTGCTTTTCTATATAAAATTTAGACTCAATTTGTCAAAATCCACAAAGTAACTTGTTGGAGTGATTGAAATTGTGTTGAGTCTACAGATGAATTTGGAAGGAACTGACCTCTTAACAATATTGAGTCTTCTTATACATGAACATTGGGCTTCTCCCATTTATTTAGATCATCATTGACTTTTTTCATCAGAGTTTTACAGTTCTCCTCATTCAGACTCTGTACATATTTTGTTAGACTTATATCTAAGTATTTCCTTTTTCTGGTATTAATGTAAATGGTATTCTGTTTTTAACTTCAAATTCCAGTTGTTCATTACTAGTACATAGGAAGTCAAATGACTCTTCTATATTAAACTTATATCCTGCAAACTTGCCTAATAGTTCCAGGAATTTTTTGTTCTTCTTATTGTTGACTCATTGGGATTTTCTATATAAACAGAGTCATCTGTGAATGACAGTTTTATTTATTCCTTTCCAATCTGTATACTTTTTATTTCCTCCTCTTTTATATTGCATTAGCTAGGACTTCCAGTGTGATGTTGAATAGAAATGGTGAAAGAGGACATCCTTGACTTGTTCCTGATCTTAACTGGAAAGAATCTAGTTACTCACCATTAAATATTATGTAGATGCCCTGTAGATGTGTTTTTATCAAGTTGAGACAGTTCCCTGTACTCCTACTGTGCTAAGACCTTTTATTTTTGTATCATAAATGGCTGTTGGATTTTGTCAAATGCTTTGTCTACATCTATTGATATGATTATATGATTTTTCTTCTTTAGCCTGTTGTGATGGATTACATTAATTGATTTTCAGATGTTGAGCCAGCCTTGCATATCTGGATTAAATCCCACTTGATCAGGTGTATGCTTCTTTATATGTATTGTTGGATTCAATTTGTTAATATTTTGTTGAGGATCTTTGTATCTATGCTTGAGAGATAGTAGTCTGCCATTTTCTTTCTTGTAATGTCTTTGGTTTGGGTATTAAAGTAATGCTGGCCTTACAGAATAAGTTAGGAAGTTTTCCCTCCGCTTCTACTTTCTGCAAGAGATTGTAGAGAACTGGTATAAGTTCCTTTTTAAATGTTTGGTAGAATTCACCAGTGAACCGATCTGGGCCTGGTGCTTTCTATTTTGAAATTTAGTTATTGATAAAATTTCTAACACTTTTTAATTGTCCCATAGTTCTTAGTTATTCTATTCCATTTTTTTCCTCATCCTTTTTTCTTTTTGTCTTTTAGTTTGGACAGTTGTCAAACTTTGATTTTTTTTTTCTCTACTGTGTCAGTCTACTTATGAGACCATCAATGGCATGCTTAATTTATGCTACAATGTGTTAGATTTCTGGCATTTGTTTTTGATTCTTAGAGTTTCCTTTTCTCCTTACATTATCAATCTATTCTTGCATTTTGCCCACTTTTCCATT